TCAGGCCCACGCTCTCAGAAACTCGCACGCCGGATCGGCGGAGTTGGCGCCCCCGCTGGCTGACTAATTCACCGCTCCTCATATAGCAGCATGGTGTCTGCGCCGGCACGAGCGGCGGGGGCCCGGCCTCCACGGCCGCCGCGCAGGGCGGCGGGCGGATCCTCGAGGTGGCGGCGAGCTACCTCCGGAACGACATGGCCGCGGGGCGGACGCAGGAGGAGCGACGGAGAGAGCACGGCGAGCCCCAGGGGGGCGTGCACGGCGGGCGGGGCGCTCGGAAGGCCTCCGGCCTTCCGCGGAGTTCCCGGGGCAACTCGAAGGGGTCTGCCCCCCCCCCCCCCCAGACATGATCGCGTCGTAAAAAAATGCAGGGCGGAGGTTTGTCGCTATTCTAGGCCTCCAGAGGCCCTCGCCGGGCCCTGGGACCGTCAAAAAACGTCTCAGGATGAAAAGCCGGCCCATGGAAAGGGTGTGGACTTCCGGGGACGCCTTCTTGAAAAAATCAGGACGTCGCAGGTCTGGGCCTGTCACTTCCCCCCGGGCGCGCCGACGAGGGTGGAGAATGGCGCAGGCATGAGTTCTCGTGTCGTGCGAGGCGGGGGAAATAGGAGGGAAAGGGGGTCGGAGGGACACGAAGCCTGGTGCGAGCAGCAGCTGCTGGCCCCGCCGCCGCGCGTTGTCCGGCTCCCGGCGCCTGGAGGCACTGGGCAAGCCAGCTACGCGAGCTGGTTCGCCAACCCCCCTTACCCTCTACCTTACTTTCTTAGTGCCCTTACGTCGGGCCCGTCCCTCTACAGGAGGAGTATTCAAAAATAGTCCAGAAATAGTCTGGGGATTATTTGTGGAGTATGTTTTAAACATTTTGGAGCATTTGTTGCGTATTTTTTATTTTGCGTCGAAAGCCCCCCTGTAGGGGGACACGCCCGACTTAATAGTACCCCCGTTTCGCTTGGCTTTGAAATTCTTCAGGGTTCCCGCAAGTTCGCTTCGTTTCGACGCGGCGGCGACCCTGGCGCGGGCGTTCTGGGTTATAAACGCCTCCAGTGGCCCCGAGTCGGCGGACATAGATGAATCCACGCTGTCAGAAAGACGCAAAGTCATTCAAGATTGCGCGACGCCAACGCCAACGCCAATGCCAACGCCGTCACAACACAACCCTGCGGCACGCGTGCGGGTGAGCCGCCGCCGTGTCCTGAGCACGCAAGTGGGGGCTCGTTCCATCTGCTCCTCCTCTCCTCCTCCTCCTCCTCCTTTTCCTCCTCTTCCTCCTGCTCCTCCTCCTCCTACTCCTCCTCCTCCTCCTCCTCCTCCTCCTCCTCCTCCTGCTCCGCTCCAGAGTTTTGGCCTCTGGGGGTGCGCCGCGGATGGTGCCCAGGACCCTTTCTGCCACAGGCGACCCCGGAACCCCGAAGACAGCATAAGGAAAATTGGCAAGGGCACCAGCATTCGGAGGTCCAGGATTTCTTTAGGGGAACAAGAAGTGGCATAAACCTAAAAACTCGGAGGTCCGCGCGGATTTCTCGGATCCGCGCTGGACCCCCCTGGCGGCGCCTTCGGCGCCGCCCCTGGCGCCGAAGGCGCGCCAGGGAGGGGAGTCCAGCGCCGATCCGAGAAATCCACGCGGACCTCCGAGTTTTTATGTTTATGCCACTTTTTGTTCCCCTATTCTTGGGTCGGCGCTGGACCCCCGTCCCTGGCGGCGCCTCGGGCGTCGCCCCCAGCGCCATCCGCGCGCCAGGGAGGGGGTTTCAGCGCCGGCCCGAGCAGTCCCGCGCGGGCCCTCCGGAGGGTGCTGTGCTATAGGGATCCGCACTCCCCCGCCCGACCTGCTGGGGCCGTTCGACGTCTTCTTGTCGGTAAGAACAGCTTCAGGAGGGAACAAAAACACAGACACAATTCATCCTCGATCCCCCAGAAGATATGGGGAAATATGGGACGTGGGGGGGAAGACGAAAACCCCCAAAGATATGGGAAAACATGGGGGATACTTTTATTTGTGTGTATTTATTTGTGTGTCCCAGGGCGCCTTTATAGACGTCTTCTTGTCGGTGTCCCCTCCTCCTCCTTCTCCTCCTCCTCCTCCTCCTCCTCCTCCTCCTCCTTCTCCTCCTCCTCCCCCTTCTCCTCCTCCTCCTCCTCCTCCTCCTCCTCCTCCTCCGGTAAGAAGAGCTCCCGACCCGCCAGGCCCAAGGTTCGGGCGACGAGAACCAGGCACATGCACCGATCTCCAGGCCACTTGCGAGTAGCCTGGCGTCGCTCGGACGTGTGCATTTTTCCTTCGGCGAGGACCATCGAGGAGCATCCTTGATCATTTGGCGAAGAAACCACGCACGAAACCGAAAAAACACGGGGAATGGACGTCCGAGCGATGGCCAGGTAGTCCCTTGACGAGTAGTGGAACGCGCTTGTCTAAGAATGTACGCCACCACCCCGCCGACCTTCCCTCCCTCCCCCGCCCTCCTCTTCCCCTCCTCCCTCCTGGGAGAGGGAGGGGGTGAGGGAGGTGGTGATGGTTGGGGGGAAGAGAACCAGGCACATGCACCGATATCCTGGCAAGGCCCACCCTTGACCCAGGATCGGTGCGTATGCCTTCCTTAGGGGAACAAAAAGTGGCATAAACATAAAAACTCGGAGGTCCGCGCGGATTTCTCGGATCGACGCTGGACCCCCCTCCCTGGCGCGCGGAGCGCGCCAGGGGCGGCGCCGGAGGCGCCGCCGGGGGGCCCCAGCGCCGATCCGAGAAATCCGCGCGGACCTCCGAGTTTTATGTTTATGCCACTTTTTGTCCCCCTAGTCCTGGCCAAGGTAGGAGGGCGTATGCATCGACCCTGGGCTCAGGACGGGCCTGGCCGGAATCGGTGTATGTGCATGGTTTTTTTTCCTCTAAAGGTGTGCCAGCGCTCCCTGGGTTGGGTAGCCCGCCTCGCGCCTTCCGCAGGGGGCGCCTGCCTGCCGCGGCCGCCGGGCCCGCAAGTGTGCCCGTGCTCCCTAGGGACTCCGCCTCGCGTCCTCGGGTGGGGGTCGCGCGAGGCAGGCTCGTGCTTTCTGTAAGTCGGGCCTGTACCTCCACAGGAGGAGTGTTCGAGAATATTGCTTCACAAAAAGTCTGGGGACGATGTTTGGAGTATCTGTACATATTTTTGGACTATTTTGGAACCGTTTTTCTTTGTTCGCCCAAAACCCCCTGGTAGGGGCACAGGCCCGACCTAGCGCGAGGCAGGCTCGTGCTTTATCCCCCGGAGGAGCAGGAGTGGGCCCTGGTGCAGTGGCTCACCTCGGGAGCGGAGCTGGAGTGGTTCGAGGAGGACCAGCCGCGCGCAGAGGGGGGTGGGGGTAGGGGGGAGGGCTTCTTAGAAGCACCCTGCTTCCTTCAGGCGATCGCAAATATGGATTAAGGGGGCGTGGATCAGCGACGGGTCCCGTTTCCATGGGAAATCGCGGGTTTCCGCCGCCGAGCGAGGCGGCACCGGCCGCATCTTGGGGAGGACACGTCCCCCGATCCATGGATTTGGCGACCGCGCGCCAACTCCATGGATCGCTAATCCATGCTTGCGCGCCCCCCATTCTTAGAAGGCGCGGGCCTCATCTCTAGATGTCAGGCCGGCGCCTTCGAAGGAGCAGCCTCCTTCTAAGTTCCAAGGAGCCCTCCCCCCTCCCTCCACCCCCGTGTGCGCACCGCCCAGAGGAGCGCTGGGGGCCCCAGCTCGGGAAGCTGCTGGAGACGCCCCCGCCGGGGTGCAGCGACGTGGGCAGCGCCGGGGAGCGCGGCGCCTTCTTCGGCCGGGTCTCGCTCATCCCTACCAGCCTGGGAACCGATCCCTATCCCTATACTGGGCACCTCCTCGTCACGATGCCAGTCTTAGGGACTCCCTTGTTTTCTGAGGGCGGATCCCTGAGATCGTCATCGCCTTTGGGCGTGTCAGTCTTAGGGATAGGGATACGCTCGAGGCTGGTAGCGTCCGCACGCCGCCGCGGGCCAGCGGCCAGAAGCACCACCGGGACATCAACTTCCCGGGGCCCGCGGCGCAGGTAACCATGCAGGCGCGCAGTGTCGTCCCGCCGGGGGGGGCCCGATCGAGGTGACGGGGCCGGGGGGTCGCGCCGCACCGCCGACGCCTCGGCCTTGGCATCGCTCGGACGTGTGGCTTTTTCCTTCGGCGAGGGCCATCGAGGAGCATCCTTGATCATTTGGCGAGAAAGCCACGCACGAAACCTAACAAAAAGCACGGGGAATGGACGTCCGAGCGATGGCCAGGGGGTCGCGCCGCACCGCCGACGCATCGGCGGTGCTGCTCGGCCTGGAGCCCGAGTCTTGCCACGCCGGCGGCGCCGAGGCGTCGCGGACGTCGCCGAGGCACCGCCGATGCGTCGGCGGTGCGTGGGCGATGCGGCGCGAGCCTCGGACCCCATGTGCTCGAATCCCATGTGCGGTGCCTCCGAGGTTGCCCTCACGCCGCTGGTGGCCAACAATGGGCCGTTGGCGTACGTGCCCGGTTCCCACCGCATGCTCACGCCTGGCTTCGAGGTTCAGCCTCGTCGAAGCTAACATATATCCCCATCCCCAGCCCCCCCCCCAGGCGGGGACGGGCCTCGCGAAGCCCGAGAGGAAACGACTTCTATGATAATAACTCTCTCTCGCTATATATATATATATATATATATATATATATATATATATATATATGTATACACATATACATGTCTATATATGTGTATAAAGACGGCCAGTGGGGTCAAGGCCATGCCAGTAGGGATTGGGATTGGAAACGCGATGCTCAGAGGTCATCGCCAACCCGCCGCTCGGCTCCGTGGTCGCCTACGACTCCTTCGTGGAGCACCGCGGCATCGAGAACCACGGGCCCCGCGACCGCTACGCCGCGTACCTCGAGTTCGAGACCCGGGGCGTCTTCAGCGGGTACACGCCCTGGCACTTCGGCCCGCGGTCCATGGAGCACACCGTCGCCTTCCGGCGCTGCGTGGACCTCATGGGGCAACGTTAGGTGGGGGGGCAGGCTCAGAGAGGGGACGTCGACCCTCAGTCGCCCATCCGTGTCCGACAGGACCCGCTCTAGTCCGACCGTGCGGAGTCGCTCTATCGGTGGCATATCTCCGACATGTCGGCGATGCATCGCCGATTCCAGGTCGATGTTTCCCCCGCCCCCCCCCCGAGCCTGTCCACCCACAGCACTTGGCATCGCTCCGACGTGGCCATTTTTGCTCGGCGAGGGCCATCGTGGAGCATCTCGGGCCCCCTTGCGAGCAAAATTGGGCGCACGAAGCCGAAGAGTGCACGGGGAGTGGACGTCCGAGCGATGGCGAGGCGAGCGGTGGTCCCTGCGCCCCCCAGGGGGGGCCCATAGACTCCGACGCCACTCTCGAAGCATGGCCGCCGACGGCACCTAAGAGAGTGGCCCTTCGCCGGAGGGACCTTCTGGCGCGTCCCACCCCCTGGGGCCATCCTCCCTCCTCCCCCTCCTGCCTCCTCCTCCTCCTCCTCCTCCTCCTCCTCCTCCTCCCCCTCCTCCTCCTCCTCCTCCTCCGCCTCCTCGACAAGGGCACGGGAAGTGGGCGTCCGAGCGGCGGCGAGCAGCGCTGCCCTTCAGGACCCGAGCCTGCGGCGGCTCGTCGCCGCGGCCGGGGCGCGGGGCGCGGCGGCGTAGGCGGCGCGGCCTCGCGCGCGGGGCGCGGCGGCCAGCCGCGCCCCTGCGTGGGGTGCGTGCCGCGGCCCGCCCACGTCGAGCAGTGGCCACAAGGGTCCTGGCTTGCTCACAGTGGGGGCGCGTGCCAAGAAACCAGTTGGGTTTTGCCAGGGTGCACTGGGTTTCTTGGACTTCGAGGGGTCCCCAATAAGACCTGGATGATTTTCGGCTGACGAATTTGGGTTTTCATTGAACAAATCGCGGATTTCAGGGTTGGGTTTCTTGCGGAGGTTTCTTGTGGCCGAGGCCCCACTGTACAGGCCCAGCAGAGAATGTTCTAAGAACCTGTTGAGAGGTCTGCACGAAGTGTTCTAAGAACACTTCTTCTGGCTGAGCCTGCCTTGTGTTGACGCATCGGGCTTTTATGTTCCAAGAGCGCCGTTCTTGGAACGTGTCCAGGGTCCTAAGAACATGTCGTGGTAGGCCTTTTAGGGAATGCTGGGACGGTCGGTCCCTGCTCAACCACGCGGCACCTTGCGGCCTTGTGGCGCCGTGCAGCGCGAGAGATAAGCCGAGGCGATGCGGCGGCAGCGTCGCTCCAGGGCGCAGCGGCGGCGCGCGCGCAGCGTCGCGCCTTCGCGTCGAGCCCATGCGGCGCCGCGGGCTGCGCGCGCGACGCGCCTAGGGTAGGTTCGCGTCGTGTCGACCGGCGGCGACCCCGCCGCCGACGTTCAACGTTGAACGCCGCTGGTGACCCAGAATCGGTCGGTGCTGAACGATCCTACGTTTCGGAAACGGCCGCTCGTTCAAGGTTGAACGATGCTGATGTTGCTGTTGTTGTGGTTGCTGTTGCTGTTGCTGTTGCTGTTGTTGTTGTTGGTGCTGTTAGTGCTGTTGGTGTTGTTGGTGTTGTTGGTGTTGCTGCTGCTGCTATTGTTGTTGTTGTTGCTGTTGCTGCTGTTTGTGGTGGTGTTGTTGTTTGTGGTTTCGCACGTCCCCATGGATCAGTACGGACCACATGCACAGCCACCCGCCGGAGGGTGACTGGTGGGGTCACCGCCAAGCAGCGGCAGTTCCTGTCGTGACCGAGCTTCGCTGCGTCGTGACTGAACAGACGAACGTCCGACTACGTGATGGTGATGTAGACGTCGGCGTCGCCCATGTGCGTCTCGGCCTCCTTGGCGTCCTCCTACGTGGCCAGCCTCTACGCCTGGGCCTCCTCCATAACCTCTCCTGCGCTGGCGCGGCGCCCGTGACGGGCGCACAAGTACGCAGTCGCGGCGTTAACGAAGACGCACTGCCACTCCCCCGACTCCCTGGGGTGGACGCCTTCGATGCACATGTCTAAGTCCTCGGTGATCGGCAGCTGGTCCCGGTAGTCCAGCAGTTCCCACGACCGCTCTGTGACGTGGGCACGTGCACACCCAGGCTCCCCGTCGGTGGTACACCTCGCGCTCGTCGTGTACACCTCAGGCTCCTGCATCTGCCCTCCGGCCCGCTCCGTCCTCTTGTGCAGGTAGGGCCGCGCTTGCTCCTCCCGCTCCTCGTCCTCCAGCTCGACGGCGTCTTGGAGCACCTCCAGCGTCGGGCGAGTGCCCGACGTTCGCGGCAGACGCCAGCTCCTCCTCCCGAGGCTTTGCCGGCTGCCAGAGGGCGCAGCTGTGCACGGTGAGCCCCATCCCTTGTATGCTTTCTGGGCCTGGCGCTCCAGGAGGGCGAGGATCACCGTTCGGCAGTAGACTTCGGAGTTGGGTTGTCCCACTCGGACGTGTCCCGCAAGAGAAGGAGGGGTCGCCCGTCTCTGTGCGGGGGTGAGGGCTGCGAGCAGAAAGTCGTCCTTGCGAGGCTGATCCTCGCTGCAGACCCGCCGCACCTCCTTGACTCTCCATATGACTCTCCACATGAGCTCCTCCCACCACCTTGAGTTGAGCTCCTCCCAAGCGTCTTGCACGTACCCGCCCGGGTACTTCCGCGGCTCTTCCTCATGGAGTCGAATGAGTGTGTCCAGGGCCTCCGACCGCTCCTCACAGTGCCCCTGGCCATACACCAAGCACGCCACCCAGATGCCGCTACGGGCCTGCTTGGCCCCCATTGAGCATGTCGGTCGGCAGTTTGGGTCGCGTCCCGATCTTCAGCTCCCCAGGCGGGACGTGGTCGTCGAACAGTTGTTTGATCCGCGGGTCGAGAGCGAGCCTCTTCTGGTCGAAGCTAAGCGGGCCGCGCACAGCTTTGATTAACAGGGGAAGGACACCAGAAGGAGGGGCCTCACGTCAAGGCCAGGAGAGGGCAAAGCCCCGGGATCAGGCGGTGCCGAAAGCGAAACGTGGCCGTCGAACAGCTCCTCCCGGCACGTGACCCAGTCCGCTACACCCAGGGGGCCAGCTCGCCATGGTGCTCACCGACGTGCCGCCCAGGGGATAGGGGCCTCCACCGGCACCCCCCCCCGCGGACGCCTTGCCCCCTCCTCCGCAGCCGGTGGCCCCGCCCTGCTCGGACCCCGATGGCGTCGCCTTCCGCTCCTCTTAAGTTGGGCTTGGCCCTCTACTGGGGGAACATCCAAAAGTAGGAAAAAGCATACCCTGGGGACCAGTTTTGCTGCGCATTTTTGGGGGGCATCTTTGGGGCATTTTTCGGGTACTCGGTTATTTTTCGTCCAAAGTTCTCCTGTAGGGGAACACGCCCGACCTACAGTCGACCCGCAGAGTAAGGATAGGCATCCCTCCCAAGGGTACCCTTGCATCCTCGCTTCCTGGGTCCATCCTCGGACACTCTCGTTGGCCGCGCCCCGCTCGAAACGCTTCGAAATGGGCGTCCAAGGGCCCTTCATCCTTATCGCGCATCCTTATGATGCGGGTCGACTGAAGGTGACCTAGGGTTATGATGTTCCAACCTACTTTAGCCTGGATCACCAGGCATAATTTCGAACACCAGAACAAAGTACCGAAACTCGAGGGTTTTCAAATTCCGGGCCCTGGGAGGCACTCGTCCGACACTGTTTCGACACTGGACACTGTTTCGACACTCTTCCGACAATCCTTATCGCGCGTCCGGGGCCTTGCATCCTTGTCGCGCATCCTTAGGGGAACAAAAAGTGACATAAACATACAAACTCGGAGGTCCGCGGGGATCTCTCGGATCAGCGCTGGGGCCCCCCCGGCCGCGCCTCCGGCGCCGCCCCTGGCGCGCTCCGCGCGCCAGGGAGGGGGGTCCAGCGCCGATCCGAGAGATCCGCGCGGACCTCCGAGTTTTTATGTTCATGCCACCTCTAGTTCCCCTTGGGAAGGGCAGATCTGGAGAGGGAGGGCCCTCCTCCTCAACAGCGTACAGAGCCAGTACGAACGCTGCTCTCCCTCTCCTCCCCTGTGCGTGCTGCTTCTTGCACGGGGGTTCAAGCGCTGTCCTTCCTCACGATGCGTGTTTGCACTCCGATTGTTGCCGGTGTTCCCCTAATCCTCACTCTGCGGGTTGACTGCAGCGCTCCTCCTCGCCGGTCCTCGGGGCTCCTCGGCGGCCGCACGGGCCGGCGCGCGGGGCAGAGCGGCGGGCGCCGCCCCGCCCGCGCCGCCGCGGCACGGGCAGGGCGGGGCGCCCGCGGGCGCGGCGCGCGGCCCCGCGCCATCGCGCAGCGCAGGGCTGGACCTCATCGCCGCTCTGCTGGACCTCGGCCGTGTTTTGTTCTGTCTGCCTCCTCCTCCCCCCCTAATTACTCCTCTTCCTCCTCCTCCTCCTCCTCCTCCTCCTCTTCCTCCTCCTCCTCCTCCTCCTCCTCCTCGCAGCAGTACGCCAGCACTTGTCATTCTTGTGTCAATATATACAGAGCGTTACGCGCGGCCTGACATCCTCGTTAGAAGAGGTATATGTTGGGACTCACTTTTATCCCGCACGCTGCGCGTGACATGACTATCGCTTACAGACATAGCCGTTGATGTCTCTCGCTTTCACTGTGTGAAGTTGTTGTTGTTGAGTTCGTGCGCCGCTTCGACAAGACCGACGCAGCACCTACGCAGCACCCACGCCAGCACCTACGCAGCACGCTTGCATTTGAGATTTCATGTGTTGAGTCCGTGCTTTGATCGGAAGTGATATCCTGCGCTCCGCGCGACTTATAGTTCTTTCGATAGAGGATCACAGGAGATTTGAGGTCTCATTCTTTGTGTGTGATCAGGTGTTGTTGAAGTTGAGTTCGTACGCCGCTACGACACGATCGACGAAGCATTACGCAGCACCTACGCAGCACCTAAGCCAGCACCTTCGGTATATATATATATATATATATATATATATGTATATATATCCAACACGCTTCGCGTGCCTGGCATTCGAGGATCTGGCGCTGGAGCCTGGTGAATGAGACCTAACCTGCCTGTGTGTATATGTGCTCGTGGCGAGCGAGATGTCGTCGCCGCCGTTTATTCCGCACGCTTTGCGTGGCACAGGATTTGCGCGTGGCCCACGCTCCCTCAGCGTGGGGCCTGTCGTTTGTTGCGTTCACGCCGCCTGCCGCGGCCGACGCAGCAATGATCTGCTGGTGTGGCTGCGACGCGGGGTGCTGCCCGACTCGGACACGAATGTCTGGGTCTGCGGGCCGCGGGTCGCCTATTGCAGGTTGCGCGCGCCCGCCGTCGCCGCCCTGCCCCCCCCCCCGCTCCTGCCCCTCCCCTCCCTAGGTCGTCGGCCTGTAGGCAACCCTGGACAAAATCCTCCTCCTCCCTCATCTCCTCCTCCTCCTCCTCCTCCTCCTCCTCCTCCTCCTCCTCCTTCTCCCCCTCCCCTCCGCTCCGCCTCGTCTCCGCCTCCGCCTCCGTCTCCGCCTCCGCCTCTCCTCCTCCTCTTCTCCTCCTTCTCCTCCTCCTCCTCCTCCTCCTCCTCCTCCTCCTCCTCCTCCTCCTCCTCTTCCTCCGCCTCCGCCTCCGCCTCCTCCTCCTCATCCTCATCCTCCTCCGCCTCCGCCTCCGCCTCCGCCTCCGCCTCCGCCTTCTCCTCCGCCTCCGCCTCCTCCTCCTCCTCCATCTCCTCCTCCTGCCGATGGGGCCCCCCGCGGCCCCCGACCCACCAGCGGCACCGGCCAGGCCCACCGACGGGCCTGGCCACCGCAGGCGTCGCGGCCTCGTCACCACCGCCCGTGGGCCCCTCCTCGTCCTCCTTCCAGACAATCTGATGTATCGAGTCCTGTTGTTGTCGCACTGCTTCACCAACAGCGGCGCCCCTGCGCCACCCTACAGTGCCCCCCGCGGCACCTAGACTGCAGGCCGCTTGTCCGCCTGTCCGCTTTGGCAGGGAGGTGCAGGAAAACAGGTGGAGCAAATCGAAACGCATCACGAACACGAGCACGCAAAGCGAGCGTTCGGGTCCAGCCCTGCTCGCACCCGACGGGGGCGCACGCCTTGACTCCCCGCTTCGCCCAGTACATGTCGCTGTGCTGCCAGCGGAGGTTCGCCGTGCACGCGCCACCGCGGTGGTTCGACTCCTCTCCGTCCTCCCGTAGCAGTTGCACCGCGTCGCCCCGGGCATTGTCACGGCAGCATTTCTCCTTACTCAATTGGCAAATGTTGTCCCCCTCTTGGTAGAGAACCTCATGGGCCGCGCACTTGGCATCCTCGGGCTCGGACTCTGGCTCTGATTTCGGATCTCTCGGCAACTCTGCGGGTGGATACGACGCGGCCCCCCTCGACAGGCAGCCCGTTCGCTCGCAGTGCTTGAGGGCACTGCGTAGCTTGGCACAGCCCCGCAGCCCGAGCGCACCACCACCCC